GAGCTCCAGCTCCATCTTCTTCAAACACGATCTCAACAGTCTCTTCAGTTCTTCGACGCTCGCCATTTTCTCACCCTATTTTTGCCTTTTTTTTTTCCTTTTTTCCCCTTATTTGTTTGTTTGCGATCTCTGGCGGGAGAGCACTATGATTGGTTAGATGCTGTTAAAGGACACATGGACGTTGGAGATTTGCCAGATGAGTTGCTTCGGAAAGAAGAAAATCTTCATCGGGAGTCCAAACGATATTTTTTGCAGTAGTTTTTTCACTTACTAAAAGTGAGCTTGGTATTTTTTCTGTTTTGGGATGAGTAAAAGTGTGATAATGTTTTTACAATTGCGAGTAAGGGGCTGTTTGGTTCGTTTCCTAAAAACCAAGAAAAGGAAAGAAAAGCATGGAAATCAATAAAATTTGGTTTCCATCATTTTCCACCCTTAGAAATCTCTCACATCAACCAATAATATGGTGACAACTCATCTTATTTCTTATTTTTAAAAATAAACTAAACACAAAAAATGGGTCACATCAATCAACTCATCCAACTCATCTCATCTCATCTACTACCATCTTTAAAAACCACTCACAACTCATCTCATCTCATCTACTACCATCTTTAAAAACCACTCACATCATCCAATAATATGGTGACAACCCATCCTATCTCATTAACATTTCATTTCCACCAATTTCCTCCAAAAAAGCTAGGAAATCGATTTCCTTAAGTGAGGGTCACATCATCCAATAAGATAATGACAACTCATCTCATCTCATCTATTTTCTTAGTTTTAAAAATGAACCAAACACAAGAAAAGAACCAAAACAAGGAAAATATTTTCCTTATAAGTTTTTTCCTTATTTTTTTAGCCAACCAAACATAAGAAAAGAACATCAAAATAAGTTTTCTTTAAAAATCACTCGCATCATCCAATAATATTGTGACAACTCATCTCAACTTATCTCTTTTTTACTTCTAAGAAGTGAACCAAACACAAGAAAACATCCAATTATGGGAAATATGTTTCCTTTTCTTTACTTTCCATGTTTTTTTAGCGAACCAAACAGCCCCTAAACATGGAAAAATAAAGAGAGGGGAAAAGGCCATTTAAAGTGTTTTGGTATGAAAAAGGTTCTTGATGGTATAGTTGGTGTTAAGAAGAACAAAAATTTCATGGTATACTTATATGACAAACAAAATGAATGTTTTTAATCGGTGTTAAGGGGCTGTTTGGTTGGTTTCCTAAAAATCAAGAATAGGAAATTGGGTCATGGAAATCTCAAAAACATCAATTTTCTCCATTTCCATCCCTAAAACTCACCACAACATCCAATAAAATATTATTTTTATCTAACAACTCATCCACTTTATCCAATAAAATATTATTTTCATCCAACAACTCATCTCATATCATCTCTAAACCAAACACAAGAATAAGTCACATCATTCAACTCATCTCATCTCATATTTAAAAATCACTCACATCATCCAATAATATGGTGACAACTCATCTCATCTCATTAACATTTTATTTCCACCCATTTTCTTAAAAAAAACAAGGAAATTGATTTTCTTAAGTGTGTGTCACATCATCCAATAATATATAAACAACTCATCTCATCCCATTTATTTTCTTATTTTTAAGAATGAACCAAACACAAGAAAGAAACTATTATAGGAAATATGTTTCTTATAATACATTTCCTTATTTTAACCAACCAAACAATCTCAAAACAAGTTTTCTTAAAAAATCACTCACATCATCCAATAATATGGTGACAACTCATCTCATCTCATCTCTTATTCTTTGATTTCTTTCTTTTTTTAGCCAACCAAACAACCATAATACAAGATTTCATATTCTTTGATTTCCTATTCTTTGATTTCCCACTTTTTTTAGGCAAACAAACAACCCCTAAGTACCCGCATGCACAGTGTTCTGAAGGGATCTCTGGTTTTCAAACACCATTCACATAATGCGTTATGTATTTATCAAAACACCGTTATTGGTTGCAAGAATGACAAACAATAGTTATTTTAGTCTTTATTATTATTATTATTATTATTATTATTATTATTATTATTATTATTATTATTATTATTATTATTATTATTATTATTATTATTATTATTATTATTATTATTATTATTATGTAAAGAGTATTTATTTATTAAATATGTTATTTCAATTTACTATTTCTTAAGGGTTTTTATATCAAAACCATATTTACTTATACCCAAATTGGTACTTACTATCTTTAAAAAAAATTAATTACCTTTACTTGCACACATCTTCACAATTGACACTTTTTTTATTGTTCACCACTGAATTGTCCATATTGCCATCACCATTGTTGAAGTTAATCCTAATTCTAAAAGGATTTGAGTTAGTTATCTTTAGGAATTTAGTTATCTCTAGAAATTATGGTCATACTAGAATTCTATTGTGAAACACTTTGTAAAGCCTTTAAATAGGCATTCATACATCCTTCTATCTAAGAAAAAAAGAGGAAAACAAGACAAGGTCTGAGTACAGTAGCTACGGTAACCGAGAGTTGAAAAGAGCTTTTTTATTTGCTTCTCCCACTAAATCTTTCCTCATACATATTATACTTCTATTTACTTTGCTTTTGATTGTTCCAACAGTGGTATTAGAGCCATGAACAATCTAAACGGGACGACGTTGCCTTCTATTCCTATATTAGATGGGAAGAATTATCACTGGTGGAGAGTACAGATAAAGGTGTTGTTTGAGTATCAAGATATATTGGGTGTCATAGGGAGCGGAGTTATCAATCTCACAGATAGTGTAAGTGAAGCCGAGTAAAAAGCACACAGTTAGATCAAGAAGAAGGATCGAAAGGCGTTATTCTACATCCATCAAGGACTGAATGATTCAGATTTTGAGAAGATTGATAGATCAACTACAGCAAAGCAAGAGTAGGATATTTTGGAGACATCGTACAATGGAATTGAGAAGGTGAAAAAAAGTTAGGCTTCAAATGAGGCGTCAATTTGAAATGTTGCAGATGGAACCCACTAAAAGTGTTGCAGATTACACGACTCGAGTATTTACTTTGGCAAATCAAATAAAAATAAATGAGGAGAATATTGCGGATTTAGTAATTATAGAGAAGATATTGCGATCTCCTACAGTAAATTTTGATCATATCGTGGTGGCAATCAAAGAATCGAAGGATTTGTCCAAGATGACAGTTGATGAGTTGATGAGTACCTTACAATTTCACGAGCAACACATGAACAAGAGGTCAACCGAGAAGCCCCTTGAGAAAGCTTTTCAAAGTCAAGCTTTTATAAAAAAATAACAAAGGAGCGTAGTACGAAAGAGACTAGCGAGGGGGAAATTTCCGTGGCAGAGGATGAGGATATAGGAACTACAACAACCGAGGACGTGAATACTACAATAGTCAAGGACATGAACAATCAAAGAGATGTCGACAATCAGAGAAGCAATTATCAATCAAATTCAAATTATCGAGGTTGAGGTCAAGATCGAGGTCGAGGTTGAGGTCCAGGCTTTTGACGTGGTAGAGGGAATATTAATAAATCAAACAGTGAATGTTACATGTGTCACATATACCATCACTATGCAAAGGACTGCAATTACCAGAATAATTCCCACTCCGGAGAAGAAGTTCGATTTGCACAAGAAAAAGGTGATGAAGACAACTACACTTTATTAATGGTCATGATAGCCGATGAAGAATCAAATTACAACACATAGTTTCTTAACACTGGGTGTTCTAATCATATGTGCAGAAGAAGGAGTTGTTCGTGGACCTAGATGAGTCGATGTGGTCCAAAGTCAAGTTTGCTGATGACAACACTATATCAGTGATGGGAAAAGGGGGAGTTCTCACCAAGCTGAAGAACGTGTTGAATATCATATCTCCATGATAGTATTTTGATAATAACAATTTATACAGTGTGTGCACTAACTTTTATATGCAGATTTTAATATCAAAATATGAACAAGTGCAAGTTGATTTCAAGGCATGATGAAGTGAAGAAAAATGAAGAACATATGAGATAATGTATTTTATATTTTCTTTACTTAGAATTTTTGTACAAGCCTTGATCACACATACGCACACACACAATATTAGAACAAACTAACACAGGCTTAGTGTATTGGTTAACTATAGAAATCCTTTATGTTAACCATTAGAATTATAGTTAACACTTGAGTATAAAAATCTTTTATTTCATAATTTCTACTCTTAGTAGTCGACTAACTAGAATAGTAGTCGACTACTCGTGTATAAAACTTAAATATATGTTTCTGTCATTTTACAGTATAGTCGACTACAATGGATTATAGTCGACTACTCAGGTGTTTAACAGAAACATAAGTTTCTGTCAAAATACAGTATAGTCGACTAATCAACAATATAGTCGACTACTTGTAGGCGTATAAAACTGCCTATAGGTCCCTTAACACAGCTCGACGACACCGATTCGACGAACCGACCATCGGGCGACGTATGCAGACACGATTGTTAGTCCACAACACCGAAGCCAAGTGATACGCGACGAAATGGATTAACGAGGCTACGAGGCTAATGAACCGCACGCAAACAACGGAATAAATCCACTCGCGTACGGAATTTAGGTAACGGTTCGAAGAGTCAACGAGTCATCCAACCAAGGGCAGACTCGGACGAATCACGATCGAATCAAGATCAGTTTCGGACTCGAACTCAGAAGTGGATTTACTGCCAAATCAGGTCAACGAATCGAGTCCGAACAAGTCAACCACACAACCGAATCACGGACAGAACCGAAAGACGGATACAATGCAAAACGACGAAACCCAAACGCCTAAGGGGGCTTGGCCAAGGCCGAGCCACCCATGGGTGGCTCGGTGCCCAAGGCACAGTAAGGGTTGCCTATAAATAGGCCCCCTTGGTTCATTTTCAAGGGTTGGAAAATTTTTGG